CCCCGCCAATGCTGCCCAGCTCAGGGCCCACTCCTCCTACTCGACCCAAACTGACTCCCCCCCCGCCTGCTGGTCTCTGTGGCCCTATGGCAGAGGGAGGCGTGGATACCCTACGTCACCGTTACCTAGGGAGACGATTGTAACAATTGCCCTGCGGGGAGCTCGCAGCTGGGGCTGGCGGCCGCAGGGCTGCGGGGAGCAGGCGGTGTCGGGGGCAGGAGGTCCGGGACATGCAGGAGTGGGACAGGAGACACAGGTGAGTGGAGCTCCGAGTCCAGACTGACCACAGGGACTCACCCATCTGCGGGCTGTGTAAGGCCTTTCTGCTAAAGACTTAAAAGCACTTTACACAGCAGCAGAGAGTGTTCAGAAGAGCCTAATTGAATTTAACTGTGAGGTCACCTCATTCCTAGGAAAATCCCATCCATCCGCCTGTCTCTGTTTACTACTGGATGAAAATGGGATTGAGAGTTTTAATGCCTGTTCTTAGTTTAGTCTCACTTTTGTGACAGTCAAACTGTTTTGATGTCCCCGAGAAGCAGGACTTTAGAGATGACGAATAAGCAACAGGAACAAGTGAATGCCACATGACTGATTCTGGGAAGTGCTGGGTGCCCTTATATGCCCCATTGAAAGGCAATTTAGGGGGCTATTGTATCTTCCAAGCTGCTAGAGTTTCCACTTTAATGAAAACTTGCTCATAAAAATCAATCATAATAGGAGAGTTATAGAGGGTGGTTTTAAAGGCAAGGTATCTCAAAAGTTTTTCAAACTTTCCCATGAAGTGCAAGACTTTACGGCTCAGTCCAATTCACATGGTAAGGAATGGCAGCTACTTTAGACAAGAATATATATTTTGGTTAAACCTATTTACTATCTTATAAAAACATCCATTAATAGATCTTGTAATTAATTATTTTGCTTGTAAAACATTAATAGTAAGGAGTACAAGTTATATTTTTAAAAAGTCAATAGCCAGATCTGTTACTTGCTCTGTTTCTGAAATCCATTGCAGACCTATACTTTTTTTGTACACTTTAGACATTTTTTTCCATAACAGAGTTGCAGCCTATTTTTGACACCTGCAAATAAATTCATTTGACAGAATACCTGTGCTTTGATTTTTAGAGGCGCTATGCAATACAACTCCCACTGAATTCAAATGGGAGCTGCTGGTGCTCAATATCTTTGGGAAGAATCAAGACATTATATTACCCATTTATTATGGAAAGTCACATGCATTTTGTATTTCATTTAGATTTGTTATATTTCTGATCTAATCTCTAATTGTAAACATTATTTTTTATTGCAGAAATGTAAATGTTTGCTGTGTCAAACTATTAGGATTGGGGTAAAAAAATAAATTTTCTCCATTGGAGACTTTTACATTGTGGCTTTCAATGCCGAATTGCTACTTCGTTATTAAACATGCAGAAAGTGTAAATAGCTTCTTTGTGATCAATTTTGATCTTGTTAGAGGGACAAACCTAAGCCAACCCAAGTGAGTTTCCCATCCTCACCCATCCCAGAGTATGTGCCAACGTAGATTTCACCTCCCTCCAACGGGAGGGCTTCTGAGGGCCAGCTATAGTTTTTATGTGGGGATGCGTGGGGCCTCAGGCATACATCCATAAACTCCACCACATATTTGGGAGTGGGAGGGTTTAGCAGCTGGGTAGGACAGATCGGTATGGGGATACAGGAAGATTTCAAACTAGTATTGGGGGAAGATAGGGACATCAGGATGCTTGTTACTATGGGGCATCATCAGAAGTGTAGAGATGGGGGATTTTAGCAACTACGAGGTGGCCTATGCTCTGTCTGTAAGAGGGGAAAGCCTCACGATCTGTTGATGGAGAAGGCACCCAAAAGTAACTATACACTTGACAAATCCAGCCATGGAATTTGGAACCATGGACAGTTTTCCCTTTCATTCTGGGTCACCTTCTGGCTCTGCACTGTCTACTCAGAGCATTAATACCATTCCCAGCTGAGTGGTGTGTGCACTTATGGGCACTATAACAATCCTTCCTCTGATCCCAGAACTTGAGAGCCAGATTTAACCAAGGACATGCAAATGGTGGTGGTGCCCACAGTGCCCCTTTAGCATCTAGATTGCTGGGGCTAGGAGCAATAGTAATGAATTTTTTTTTTAAACTGGAGGATCAAAAGGACAAGAATAGTCGGAGCTTCTCTGGGGTAGGGGCAAGACAAGTTAAGGTGAAACTAGGGAGGTGGGGGAGTATAGAAACTGGTAGCCCTAGGCAGTGCTCACACTGCCTCTACATTCAGACAAGACCAGCACTGGAAATCAGCACCCCTTGCCAGGCCCTCATCTCGCTGTGAAAGAGCCAGAGGTTAACCTCAAGTCCAGGTCTCCCTTGTTCCATCGCACTTTACTGCACACTGCCGCTCAAGCTGGCCTTCATTTAATGTTAGAAGACAGTTTTCAAGCCGCTTGGGCAATAGCTTTACACTGGATAAGAGAAGATATTTCTCCCTTTGGTCCTCTCACAGCATTGTGTTTGATGCATTGCTACATTATGTTTACAATAGATCCACTAGGGTTTATGGCATCTGATTGTCAGTGGTCCCCTCTGGGTTCTCTACCTCTGTTTGCAGCATCATTACTACCTCATTGACTTACTGTTTGGGGCTCTGGGACTGCAGAGCCTTAACACAATATATTTCCCCAGCTTCTTGATTTTTTTCATTTTTGGGGGGCAATTCAACCCATCTGGTTACAGCTGTAGATGAAAATAAAGTTGCACATGTAAAATTGTATCACTTTAAAAAACTAACTTCCTCCCTCTCCTTTTTCAAAATCCAGGAGGGGGGGGAAATGAACGAGGTAAAAGAATGTCTGAGAAACATAGAACAGACTTACAAGATCTTCCAGCAACAGCAGTTTACATTTATTGCAGCACTGGACCACACCCGAGAGGATGCACATGACAAGATCAGGCCTATAGCAAGTATTGGACAGGTAACAAAGAAATCAGCACAAAGATCTCTGCCAGCAGTGATGGGGACAGCATAATGCTGTCATGCACTTGTGTATATTTCAATGGCGAATAACTTTACTAGGGGAAGCTATATACAAACCCCTCTAGTAAGATCTGTTTATTAACTCAATATTATATGCTACAATGGATTATCAAATAGATACAGAAGTATCTACACATTATGATTTACCCATTTATACAAACGCTATACTGCTTAGTACCACTTTAGACAACTTAGCCTAACAATCCCATTTCCCCACCTCACTCCTAAACACAAATATACAGTACAAGACCAACATACCCACCTTCCCCTGTCACACATGGACTCTGTAAACCTTAACTTGTTGTAGTAAGCAGCTTACTTTCCACTCCCTCGTTATTGGAGCTACTGTATTTTTCTGTAGTGTTTATTAAAAATAATGGCTGTGTTACAAAGGTGGAATGAGGGCTGAATATAGAGTAGGGGGTTCTGAGTTGGTATGTGAATTGTCTTGGAACTTTCAAAAATATTGAATATTTTAAATAATGTGAAGAACTCAGAGCCTGGAAGAGACCGTGGGAAAAAAAATCTAAATAAAATGACAATTATGGATGTGCTCCCTTTACATGTGGAGACAGCATATGTCATTAAAATCAGGGTTCACTAGGATTTAATTTTTCTACTTTAATAATGCAAGGGCTTTGTTCGCTATTCAGAAGAGTTTCTGGATAGATTGTGTTATGAACTAATGTCAGTTTCTACCAGGAATTAGCATTGAGATTTAGTCTTATTATTTAATAAAATTAAACTGAGCAATACAGATGCTTTGTAAGTGGTAATTATTATAATGTCAATGACCAAGGTTCAAACTAATCCACCTCCTGCCACTTGGCAGGAAGACTCTATACCTAGCCATTTCATCTCTCTAATTTTGATCCACCACTCACTAGTATAAAAAAAGGGTGACAGGAAACACCCTCTTCTGCACCCTCAGATCACAGTAATGGAGCCACACTGGCCACGTGGCTGAAGTAGCTCAGCCAGCACTCCTGTTCCAGCAGGGGAGGGGGAAGAATGGCCATGGATTTGCAAATCAGTGGATACCACCAGCCACACCTCTCCAAATCCTATTGCACAGGAAAGGAGGAAGCTTTTTACCCAGGCAGGCTCCAGAAATCCTGTTGCATATAGGTTCCCCTGCACATTGCTTCCTTCAGAGCCATGGTTGAGAGGGCAGTTTCTCTGCAGTGTAACACAAACTGCATCGAAACGGTCCTTTGTACGTAAAGCAATAAAAACTGCACCAGCTTGTTTGAACTAGTTTCACTGCGGTTTAAATATTGCCCTTCCTTGCACATGTTGCACTACATAGGTGCAGGCATACATGGATCATCACTGTAACAACACTACCGACAGACGCATCCTCCTCATGTTCTTGAGCATCTGTAGTGAACTGAACAAACTCTGCCAAAAGCTAGAAGCCCTGCATCCTGGTACCAGTGTAACGAACAATATTTTGGAGAAATGCAAGCTGCTCGTTAGCCCCAGCAACGACCTGAGCACCATTCGAGCCAAGTACGTCTATCATCAGCTCACTTTTTTTATACATTTCTCATTGTAAAAAAAGCAAACATCACTTAAGCAATTTATAAAGCTGGGAAACAGAGAGGCATGGTCCTCTGCTGATGTAAGCAAAATTTGTACTCCAGACCACCACACACATCTATTAGAGCCATGTGACTGTCTTCTAATTCCAATGAAAGAGCAAGGGTGCCCCAGTAATCCCATTGGTCTTTGGAGAATTTCCCCCAATACTATTCACTCCCCACTCACAAATAGTTAGATTTTTTTTTTTAAGTTTGTGAATTTCAGTGCTAGTGAAATATAACATATGGGCAGCCTAGTACACTGAAGTCACATGCAACGGCAGTACAGGTTTTCCCCACCCTATACTGTCAATGGTTTATTTCAACTGGGCAGAGGAGAGACATGTATTTTTTACATGCTGTTGAAATTAAATCTGGGGGCAACCAGATTTGGGCCCAGTGGTGAGGAATGTTATTGGGCAGGAACGATTTCAGCCACACAGTCTACTTCTGACCATCACTGACCCTTTGTCTTGAGAAAGTAATTGAAAGTGCCTATGTACTTGTACCAGCGACTCTAAAAGTGGCATTTTGGGGTTCCATGTATTTATTGATTTACCATCTGGTAAATAACTGCTTCCCCCCGACCCCCACGCAGGTACCCTCATGATGTGGTGAATCACCTGAGCTGCGATGAAGCAAAGAACCACTACGGAGGTGTGGTGAGCCTCATACCCATAGTGCTGGACTGCATGAAAGCATGGGTGGCCCACAGTGAGAAGCTGCCTCGGAACTTCCTGCATAACGTGAGTGATGGAAGTGCTGACTCTCAGAAGAGAACACAGCAGGATGTGTCAGCAAAGGCATCTGCTCCCCTAGGCCCACGTCCTGCTATCCTCACTACTGCTACTCAGACCTTGGTTAGTTACAAAGACTATTCACGAGAGCAGAACCGTAAGCATGGTAAAAAAGAGCACCTGAATGGCACAGGGAGAAACACTTGGAAATATCTCAATGGTCCCTGGAAACCACCTGGGAAACACTCTTTTTAGAAGGACCAAAGCTCATACAACTTTTGCATAGATGTGGCTGGTTATTAAATATGGTCTCTAGTATTCACTGCAGTTGTTCCCTCCCGTCTTGACCCAAGTTCTGAATATATGTAGTCTTGTAAGTTTCCAAAAGCAGATAAACCTAGATCTTATCAGACACCTTTCTACTGAGATCCAGAAAAAGAGTGGGAACAGGGATAGTGTATGTCACATGTATTCCTCCTTGACAGGTCTAGTGGTGAGGGCAGCAGATGGAGTTAGGACCAATCAGATTCTGGTCTCACCAATGCTGTGTCTTGGGCAAGTCACTTGAAGTCCAATTCTATGACTTCCTATCTGATTTTTTCAGGTTACGGGTTGCTCAAATTTACTGCTGTAAATGGCCTATCTGAAATCTAAGATGGGTGCACTACATCCCACACCAATACCAGTAATAAAGACTGAGCCAAAATCTGTCTTCATTTATAGCTGTTCAACCCCTTCACTTTCCATGGGGTTGGCACAGGTGTAAGTGAGGACAGAATTTGGTCCTGTAGTTGAAATTTAATTGACAGTGTGAGAACCATAAAAGAATCCAGCTCACTCTCCCAGAGCTGTTTTGGCTTTGCAGGGCTAACAAGAGGAAAAAGTTATTTATTACCACTATTAGTGTGCAAGACTCCAATCCAGGGAGTAGATCTACTGAGGAAGAGGTGACCATTCTCAGACACAGCCTCTTTTCAAAGTAGAATTGCACTTTAAGGTCTCTATGCCTCTGCTTTCCCTTGGGTACATCTTACCTACCTCACAGAAGTGTTTGATGCTTAGGTCATTAACAGCTGTAAGGCATTTGAGATCAGCTGATGGAGCATGCATAGAAAAGTGCAAAGTATTTTTAAATCATTGCCTTCCTATAGAGTCTCTGAAGCCAGCTAACTACCTTTCCAGGACTGGGTTATGAAAGTCAGTCCACCTGTAGGCTCTCTTCCCATAGTTATCACTTAGAACTGATTTGTATAATTTATGATGCTTTATGGAAGCATTATTAACTAAGCTCTTAACAAGATCTTGATAGTCTGATGTATTTCCCTGTATCTGATTGCTCTTTTCCCCTCCCACAGGCAAGTTAGCTCCTGTTCTTTTGCCTCCTGCCTGAAGACACTCCTGAATAAACGTTTCCCGTGCATGCATGGCTGTGTTTGCTAAAATTATGGGGGTGCTATTACCTTAAGGTGACCAGGTTTTTGAAACAAGTATCAACTGAGATGGGAGGGTTGAGCAAACAAGGAAGTGCAGAAGGGAATGGCAGTTCAGAAGAATAGGAAGTATTTACAGGTGAACTTTCACCCCTTCTTTTACCACCCCCTCTATGTATTTGTTCCCATTCTCTTCCCTCACCGCTCATACACTTCTCCATAGGATGTATAGGAATCATTGCACTTAACCCTCAGCTCTGGGATAGACATGATTTCTTCAGCAAACTTCATAATTATTTTTAAGTGATCCCGTTCAATTGAAACTACTGGGGAATTTAAACAGATTTAAGATTGTTGGGCTATTTAACAGACATAGTTGCTAGCAGGATTTTGGGTAGCAGAAAAGCCACCCTTCCTGTGGAAGACTTTATTTAATAGCTGTATCATGGAGGTGGCTTTAGAGAGAAAAATTAAAGTCACTAATAGCATCTAAGTACTTCAAGTTTCAGGCCTGATTGTGCTAGGCACCGTACAGACAAGTAACAGATAAAATGCTCTCTGGGGCCTGGTCTACACTAACCCCCCAAGTCGAAGTAAGGTACGCAACTTCAGCTACGTGAATAACGTAGCTGAAGTCGACATACCTTAGTTCGAACTTACCGCAGTTCAGACGCGGTCCACACGCGGCAGGCAGGCTCCCCCGTCGACTCCGCGGTACTCCTCTCGCTGAGCTGGAGTACCGCAGTCGACGGCGATCACTTCCTGGTTCGACTTATCGCGTCCAGACAAGACGCGATAAGTCGAACCCAGAACTTCGATTCCCAGCCGCCGAACTAGCGGCTGGGTGTAGACAAGCCCTGGGACAGGAACTGTTAAGCAGGAAATGAGGGCTATTGGTTAGACCATGGGCCTGAAGGTTACAACTTCCAGGTCCTATTCCCAGCTCTGCTACTGACTCATTGAATAACCTTAGGTAAAAGGTCATCTAACCTCTGTGGCTTAATTTCGCAATCTGAAAATGGGGAGGATACCTACTGCATAGCAGAGGGGCTGGGAAGCTTATTGTTTGTAAAAGCACCTTTTAAAATCCTTAGATGAAAGGGGCTATAACAAGGGGTAATTTTTACCCACTAAAAATCAGTTTCGCTAAGCCCCTTGCTGTGTCAGCCCAGAGAGTGGGTGTAAGTCCTACCAGCAGCAAAGGAAAACCCCCAGAGGGATATCACCGCCCCCCCCGTGGAGAAGGCTGGTTGAGCATGCCCAATTTGAGACTTGCAGAGCTCTGAAAGTAAATCTGCAACAAATATCCTGAGTGTCTCCAGATCCACATACACAACAAACATTGGGGGATGTCTGAGTTGGCATTTTAAGGGAGTTTGCAAAACTAGGGACCCCATCCTTCTGCCATTTAAGTCAAAGGGAACATTGACATTGATTTCAGTGAGAGAAGAATCAGGACCTGTGTTAGCAAGTTAGAAACAACCCTTCTTCAGTATCAGTGTGTCAGCCAGTCTGAACTTCCACAGCTGCACCTAACTCCAGATGAGACACAGGACTTCCCTGAATAAATTCCTGCTTCAAGTCCAATAGCTGTGGTTGAACTACGGCATATCGTCTAGAAAAACATCCAATCTTGATTTTAACAGTTCCAGTGATGGAGAATTCACCACAACCCTTGTTAAGTTGTTCCAATGGTTAATTACTCTCACCGTAACAGGGTTCCATTATTTTGCCTATGCTTATGCTACACAGCAGAATTGGTGGGGGGCAAGGGGGAAAATCTAGCAAGGGTATTTCCCATTCATTAAAATCACCAACTCTTTTTACTGCAATACAAGTTGATCAGAAATCACCATCTAAATTTAGTTTTAAAAGGGCCATAAGTGTGACTAAAATGACAATTAAAAATTCAATTGTCAAAACAGATATTCAGTTATAATCTCTTTAAATACTTCTATTTTAAATGTCAAAGGCAAGCAGTTAGTTATCACTTATCTGTTCTTGCTACATAAAATGAGTGCAGTTTAGGATTTCTGAGAATAGTGGTTACATGACCATATGTTCTGATCTATATTTAAATAAAAAATAGTATGAAAATAAGGAATTTGCACTTACTGTAAATGTCTGCTAGTCCAATCAAAAGTTATGCTATATGGAAGATAAATGTTCTAGTATTTGTTTGTGCATTTTCATATGTTGATCAATACGTTGTTCCAGCGGCTGTATAAAAGTCTGAAAAAAGAATCTCTGCTATGCTAGGTGAGCTAAGTGACTCCTGAAGAGGAAAAGCGCAAAGAATCTCCCAAAAACAAAACAAAAATTGCAGGGTGGGCAGAAAGGCATGTGTCATCTATCGAGCATTTTACAAACATTAAGTCATTCACAACTTTGTGAGATGGGAAAATAGTCTCCCATTTTACAGATGGGAAAACTGAGGCACAGTGAGGGGTCAAGTGACTTGCCAAAGTCCAAGTGGTGGGAACTCCTGATTTCTAATCCCAACTTTGACTCCCAGTCCTGTGCACAGACCAGGTCTTATTGCACAGTATAGATCTGAAAATCCAGTTTTAACGTCATTCTTTATATAGTGTAAGCCGGAATACTTGGATTCTGATCAGCTCAAACTACTGTATTAACTTTGAGGTTAACGTAGTATGAGTTCACTTTCAGTTTTGTGTATTAAATATCACAACCCTGCCACCCAACAAGCTAACAGCTGTTGCTCATGTCTTACCCAGGAGTTCCTAAACTGTAGCAAATTACTGAATAATTCCAAAAGTAACTGCCCCAGTCCTCTCACCCAGTCCTGCTCACTAAATTTCCTCAAGGACTCTTGAATGGAAAAATTGGAAGTTTCTTGGGAAACTATAGTTTTGCAATAACATGACAATGGTCTTTTGGAAGATTTTTTCAAAGATAAGTTGCAAAAACAGTTTGTCCAAATTACTTTAGTTTCTATATAAGTTTCCCTCTACACAGTGGATGACCACCACTTCAGATAGAGCGAAGTTTGAGAGAAATTTAGAAGGTTGGTAGGGTAGGAAGAGACAAGTATCAGCTTTCCAACAGCAACCTAGTGGCAATGTTGGAAAGAGTACCATCTTGCCATAAATCCAGTTGAAACTGAGTAGAAATTGAGGTAGTTGGAATGTAATTATCCAAACATAGCTCTGTAATAAAACTTTGCTTTAACTTTGTCTTCCAAGTTCACATACACACAAACACACAAGAAACCTGGGAAGCAGCCAAACTAGCTTACTTTGTGTTCCTCAAGTCTCCTTGATCACCTGCTTTTCCTTCTGAAGACAAATACAGATACAAGCAGAGTATACAGGATCCCAACAAAATCCAGCTGTCTGTATGCTACATACTACTTCTGTAGTTCTGGTCCAATTTAGACAGGGGACGGCATCAGTCAAAAACCAGTATCAAATCAAAAATATCCCTTAGGTTAAAGATTTGTTTTTTTAAAAGTTTAAGTCTGGAGACACCGTAACCAACAGGATGCTGCTTATAGGCCATCCAGAAGAGAGCTGGGATCAAGTCAGCAATTAGAAAGTCAGGGATTCGGCTAGACCTGAAAAGTCTTGCAGGGAACCACAACAGGAAGTGTGGTGGAAGTTCAGCAGCTCAAAAGATTAGTTCTGAGTGAGCTGGCAGAGTCATGGAGGCCTCTAGTGGTCAGGTCTAGGAAGCAGCACTAAAGAACGCAACAAGGTCAAAAGGAGAGTTGGCTTTTCAGTCTGTTATGTGGCAGTAGAACTGGGAGGAAAGCCATGGCTGCTGGAAGGATGATTCTTATTTATGGTTGTGTTTATGAGCATT